TAAATTAAGTATTTATTAATTATTTTTGTTTATTTAGTCATGCTCTAATTTTGAAGTCATTATCACAGATTTAATCATATTTTTTTATTGATATAAGTACGACACAAAGCAAGGTTATACAATATCTGCACTGAAACGTTTTGGGGTTATAGAAGTACTTACCTATCTTTAAGGCACGACTGTTTTGTAATTAATGATTCGCCTATTCTAATAGTATAGTTGTATTTTCTCGATAATCGTAGTCGGTGATTTCAGTTAACGAATGTAGTTTCATGGCTTCAACTTGTTTCATCTTTCATGGGTTCAACTTGCGCAAGTAAAATTCAATGGAAAGTACATTTTGAATTTTTGAGGGGGTCGAAATTTCACATTTCGACGGGATTGAATTTTCTGAGTGAAAAGTTTTAACAAGAGATAAGAGAAAAGTATGGACGAGAACACAAGTGTAATTGTATATGATCTAAACTTTTTTTTATTCCTCTTTCGCTTTCACTGTTTTGAAGAATGGGACAGCAACAATATTTCCTGGAAAAGAGATGGGGAGAGTTATGCACCATCGAACTTTATTACATATGTTCTTTTGTCGATACGCCATATCTTTGTGAATTCTTCATAAAATCCTATGATTGACGCCTTCTTTTGAAGATCTTCGTCTCCTCCATGTGCGAAAAATATCCACATCCCCCGAAATTTTTAGAAAAAGGTTATAAAGAAAAAAAAAATTGCGAATAACTCAAAAAGTATAAATTATTTCTTAACTAACCATTGTAATGAGAAAACTTACTAAATTATCAGAAAAAAAAAAAAAAAAAAAAAAAACGGACCATTATTAACAAAGATACAGCCCGTTAGATTTGGAATACTTAATAACTTTTCCTCTTTGAAGCAACTGCATTTACTATTCTACTACCCTTTCTTTACCGGGATGATATATAGTTTATATTATTTCTTAAAGGTATTTTATTGTTGGTACTTTTTTTTATTTAGAAAAACCCATGGTCGAGGATTTATTTTGATTATTAAATTTCCCGTCATCATTTAAAATAGGCACTATTATAAAGTAACTTTGGTCTATTAATTTAAATGGAATATTGTAACTGATAAAGGAAAACACAATTATTTCCTCCTTTGCATAATACATAGGACCCACTTATTTCCATATTGTTTCGCTATTCTTCTCTAAAAATAAAAAATCTGCGAATTATTCGCTCGAACCAACTTATTACAAAATATTACATGATAAATATATTGATATAACTAAATTTATTTTCACCTACCTGGCCATTCCTATGTAACCGGAATATTCCCGTTCTCATTTATATGAATACCTGACGGAAAATCGCTTTTATTAAATCATATTTAACCATTATATACTTATTTTTTATAATATTTATATACTTTCGATACTTAGTTAAAGTTCTGTCTATTCCTTATTTTTTTTTCCTATGCCTCTTCTTTCTGTTTTTCTTATCTTTTTCCTGGCTTGACTTAGCTCTTACCAAGGTATAATTTACATGAAATGGTTTCGTTAGTGATTCGTTGATGCATATGTACAATATTTTGTTTTTACTTGAACGTCCTCCTCACCAAAAAAAAAAATTAACTACTCCATATGATTGTTCTCTTTTTTATTTTAGTAAAACGACACTATTTTATTCAAATAGGTGGGCATCGAAATAAGTCTCACAAATTGTTCAAAAAAGTTAAATTATCATTTTCTGTTATTATATGAGCCTATCGGTTGACAGAATGAATAACTCCAATTTAAATATTTTCGATTATTAATTTTAGTGATATTTCTTGTGGAAAAATTATGCCTTTATTCACAGTTCTATATTTCAACACTGCAATCACCTACTCTAGAATCTACTGACTCACTGACTGCACGGATATTATAAATTCTCTAACTAGAAATATCACTAAAATAACTTTATCCAAAAAATGTTGAAATTGGAGTCAGTCATTGTCATTTTACGGTTAAACATACTTTCGAAAAACGCAATTAGTGCAATCCAAGTATAAACAGAACAGAATTGATTTAAAATTTCTCTTTAACCCTAATGACTATGAAACATCATACACTTTAGTATTCAAATTTTTAAAAACAAAACATCCTCTCATAAATTACATCACTTTTACCATATATATTTTTTTTCAACTACATTTATTGAAAGATATTACAATTTGTCGCAAATAAGGACATTTATAACAGTGTTCAGAGAGCACATTCACGCTCTATTAACAATAACTAAAAATAAATAATACAGAAAAATCAATAATACTAAAAGTAAATGTATATAAACTAAACCAAACAAAAATAAAATAAGCTTTTACCATATTATCTTTAAAAAAATCTAATATTTCTTACCTTTTATTTTACTTCATTCTGTTATTTTATAACTTTTGTTAGTAGATTTTTTTTATTTTTATAATATGATACTTTCACTTGACAGAATGAATAATTAAAATTTCAACATTTTTTATTATTAATGTTAGTGATATTTCTAGTGGGAAAATTTATACTTATATAAATTTATATTTATACTCATTGTCTGTACAGATGTTATAAATTTTACAACTAGAAATATCACTAAAATGACATTACTCGAAAAAGTTAAAATTAAAGTTAGTTATTCTGTCAAAATATTTTACAAACTTATATTTAAAACATACCATAGGCGTTGGTGACTTGAGGATTTTACTCATTCGAACAACAAAAACCAAACAAACAATTTATCTGCTCATGTTCCATTTTTTTTTTTTTTTTTTTTTTTTTTTTTTTTTTTTTTTTTTTTACTGAAAGCTGTACATATCGTTTTTCTTACTTTTTATGGCGTCGTTATGTGTGGAATTCTCTCGAGGAAACTGGGAAAGTCTGGTGCCGTCGAAGAGGTAAAGGAACGCTGAGGTAAGAGGCTGTATTCTATGTCGGCAGATGGTTGTTATCACAGGTCGGATTAGAGTTTCTTTCCGGACCTAAACCAATAAAACCCTGAGAAGGATGGGGCGAACCCTATCGCTACTGTATCAGGTTTCTTTACTGGCTGCAGCATCTCTGTTGGGGAGAATAAACTATTTTATTTTATTTTGTAATACTTTACTAATCTACTGACATTCATGGTTTCACTTCTTTGTAAAATATAATATTCTTCTGCTTTAACGACAAGTTAAATATAACCATCGATTTCCTCTCGTGTGGTTTATATCCATTGAATATTGTACTTGCAACTTCACCTCGTATAAAGGCTACTAATTTATGTTATTACTCAAATTTCTCTGACTTCCAGTTTAGCCACATATTTTTTTTTTTTGAATTTTTTATTTATTTGTGGTTATGGTGTGTCTTAGTCTAGTGACATGGCTCACTAGTATCCTCTAGATATCAATTAAATTCTCAGTCAAGTAAGAGGTTTTTAATGTGAGTCTGCCTTCTCATAGGTTTGTGAGTGAGTTTTATGAAATGTGGGTTTGTCGAGTCTTTCAGGCTACCAAAAAATTTGATATTCCTGCGTGTTATGAAGTCGCCCACCTTCGGTAATTCGTGGATGGTATGCAGAAGATCCGTGTTGTTTTTTGTAAAGTCGTGTTCTTACTATTTTTCTCAGCAAATTATTCTGAACCTGCTGGAGTTTCTTGCTATTTCCAGTGGTATGCTACATAGTATTTGTGCTAAATAAAGAAAGGCCAGCCTTAAAACACTTTAGTAAAGCGTTGATTTGAGGCGGAGGGTGCAACTTCCAACAGGTGATTTTTTTTATTTATTTGTCTTTCCTCATAACCCATGTTAATAATTAATATCGTACTTATTAGACAAGGATGTAAAAATAAAAAATAAACAATCGATAGAAAAATAAAACCAATATATAAACTTAAAAGCGAAACAAAACTCTTTATTATTTGACCTTTACATATTATAATTTAAGATATGGATTATAGTCGAATAATAGGTCATGAAATTTTATGGGGTTGCCATGCGGGCTAAGGCGCTTGCAATAGATAACCAAGTTAAGCAACGCCGAGCTTGGTTAGCACTTGGATGGGTGACCGCCCGATTTGGGTGACCGTCCACCAGCGAAAGCCAGCGGCAGGCCACCCTCCATGGGGTAGCTCCATAGCCGATCCCTTTGGGGCCAATCTGGCAATGTCCTTTCCACCGACTTTCTCAGGTTCAAGGACAGTGACAATCGGTCTAGATCCATGGATTATGGCTGCTCGGAGTCAGCAGACGCACGAGGACCTATATTTGTTTCCTCGAAACAGACCGTCCATTGACCGAACCTCAGTGGGGCTATTAATATCCTGGTAAACCACATCCCGATTCCCGAATTAAGTACACGGGGCAGGGTCATCAGTCCTACGCCCGCTCGGTGTGAGTTGCCTCCAGTAGACTCACATACCCGGGGGGGGGGGAGAGACTCGGGCAGCATGGCTTCCCCTGGTGGACGATCACCCAAATCGGGCGGTCACCCATCCAAGTGCTAACCACGCTCAACTTTGCTTAACTTTGATTACTTATTGCAAGCGCCTTAGCCCGTACGGCTACCACAGCCCCATATATATATATATATATATATATATATATATATATATATATATATATATATATATATATATATATATATTGCTTTACCTAATTCTTGTGTTTTTTAATAAATAAATATGTAACGAGTTACTCGACAGTACTTTATAACTTTCTATTTCTATTAGGTGATGTCAATTATTATAAAAGGATTTTATCAATTAGAATAATGAATAGTTCCTACATAGTGAAATAACGGTTTGAAATAATATACTTACTATTTCCTACAACTTAAAAAATTGTTATTTTGATAAATAACATTATATAAATACTGTCCACAGCTTCAGGTTCAGTACCATTTAGGGTAAGTACTGTTTCTTAGTCAAAGATGATTTGACTGAGATCACGCTTATCCTCCAGTTATTTCCCTTAATAAATTATTTAATTAAGGATACCCACTTTATACAGGCTAGGTGTACCCCACAAGGGTCTCTTAACACCAGGGTCGTCTCGTCCAGTGGCTAATGAAGTAGAAAAAATAATTTTTCTCCCATGAGCAGCGATTCCAACCCAGGACCTTGAACGTTGGAAGATAAGTGCCCTACCACTGAGCTACCCCAATCCCTGATTAGAACATAAAGCTTCTCATTTTATGGAGGTATGAGTCTGGTATTAACAAAAAATAAAATAAAATAATTTACAAATTTCTTCTTCAGAATCATTCAAACTTATAAAAAACATAGTTAACTTTCAAAATAAAATTTGAATAAAAGTTTTGAATTTAATTGTTATTTATTATTCAACTCCAAATATCTTTATTTATTGCCATATCACTGTTCTCTGTCATGCACTCTTTGTACTACTTCGTCTGTCCATCTTGCAAAAGATCTTCCTCTTCTTCTCTTGTAATTCCGTAGCAATTTTCGACCTCCTTCTCGAGTTCCATCTGGCTACATGACCAACCATCTCCATTTTAATAAAAATGCTTCTTTCGGCTTTTGAGGTATACCTGACTTCGAACTCATCTGTTGCTGATCCGATCTTTCCTCATAATTCCTAGCATGCTTCGGAAAAATTGAAGTTCCGTCTTATTGAGCTTTTGATAGTTTTTTACGGGCGCAGACCATGTCAGACTTTCGTATGCATGTCTTATGGTTAGCGGCAGGCTGTATATATATATTTTCAATTTTCAATTTGCGAGTTGGTAAAATGGTAGACATCTGGAATTTCAGAGTACCTACTGCTTTATCTATAAATTTCATTTTCAATCAGAAATCGTAGACTTTCATTTTAAAATGTATTCATTTTCATTTTTTTCACCTCTTTTAAAAAAAAAATTATGCCAATACAGGTCATGAAATTCTGATAATGCATTTTTATTATATGAGAAAATCAGTGAATAACTTTTTCTTTCTAAAAGTATAGAACCATTGCTCAACCAAGGAATTGAAAATAAAAAGTTTTATTTAATATAAAAATATAAAAAGTTTAAAAGTATACATTTAACTTTTATAACGTAAAGAGGAGTATTCTTTGGTATAGCGTTGTAAAAAAGTTTTTTTTAAAGCTTTATGACGCTGAAAAGTCTCCCTTTTGGGTAAAAGGGTAAATTTCATAGACAAACAAAACTTTTTTATTTAAAATTCTCAGGTAACTCGATTCCTCTAAACTTTAAGAAATGAAACGTATATGCAATATAAATCTTACGAAGATGTTTTCTTCAGGGAGCTGCAGCGAGGTGGAGAAGATGCCCTCAACGGCAGAACTGGGAACGAGAGTGTTGGTCGTGCCTTGGCTTCTAGGTTCCAAATCTTAAACCTCGTGCCGAGACCGGAGCCATTGAACATCACTCAATCAGTACCAAGTATGTTATTACGCTATATATTACTAATTATTACAATTTTAAATATTCATAATATCTATTATTCGATATCGTAAACGATTTTTATTTAGAACGGAAGGAAATAGTGTACTATTTCGTTGTATTTCAGCTGAAATTGAAAATTTTGTGGTTATTAGAATTCATATAAATCTTTAATTTATTTTTTTAAACTATGCTATATCAACGTTGAATGACCAAACATTGTCGCTTATCAAGAAATAGGTATGCGAATTTTAACAACTTTTATTTTGAATTAAATATCTTTTACATATGCTTCGATATATGCCAAATAGTTGTTTCCTTTATAATTTACCGTGTGGTACAATCTAAGAATATATTTATGACGAATTTACTTGATTAAACAGTTAATAAATTAACTTACTGTACCTCGTCTGGAGGTCGTTGACAGATTGATATGTGTGACAAAGGACAAAACATAAAATATATAATTTTAAACAATTTTCAGGTGACAAATTTTACGCAAAATTGACAATTTATGTTATATATTCAATGTATGTTACATTAAAAATATTTTCGTTGAGAAAAAAATATATATTGCCTCAATTAAGGGCATTGAGTATTTGGGATGTATGAAAAACAATCATAATATATATACAATAAGAGAAAAACAAAATTATAACAAAAGAAAAGGAAACTGTAATAACAGGATAAATCAAACATGAGACAACATTAAATAAAAAAATACCTATATTAAAAACACATTCATACTTAAATACAATATTTACGTTCAGCCAAGGGAGCTCCAAGTCGGGCCATTTCCCTTACCTGTGGAGGATAAGGCAAGACTCCAGGAGATCCCAGCGCTTCTCTCAGCCGCATCACTAGGATGGGAAATCCATTGGAGACAAAGAGAAGGCACTAAAGCCGCTTACGCTCATGACTATTGTACTTCAAGAAATTAATATTATCATCTAGTGATATCACAAATGTTCAATGTTGGATTATTGGGACTTTTCATATGAAATTGTCGGTTTTCAACTTTAGTAAAACAACTTCATGAAATCGAAAACTTTTCATTCTAAATTTTTTTCCTCATTTTCTATCAATTTTCGTCAAAGTGTTATCTATTTTTTAATCCTATAACTGAAAATTCAGGGTTTTGTGTAGATGTTATGCGTTTTGACCTGAGAATAATTTTTAAAAAATTTGTCATTAAGGAAGTTGTTAGAATTTCTGAACAGATCGAAATCCGTTGAAGATAAGTTCGGCGAATAAAGTGGGCATGGAAGGAAGGACATCGTAACATAGTTCGTTTAGTTTTCTCACGGTACTTTGTGTAACATAAGATTGTCGTGTAAGAGCTCCTTTCGATTAACCGAAGCAAGTTCTTTTTTGACAAGTTTTTGATGCAATACGTCAATATAAATGCACTAAGATGTCGGTGTGATGGTTCCAAATCTTATCAAGAAGAAGAAATGAATTCTTTCTGCCATTGACCATCACACAAAAAACAAATTTTTGTTTTGATGCAATTTGTTTTCAGTCGACCAGCGAATGGTAGTGATCTATTTTTATCAAATTATTAATTAACATCTGTCTAAAACTTGGTGAACAGCTTCATCTCATCGCAACCTATTACTTTTTTATTTACGAAAATGCCCACAATCTGGAGATCAGAAAACTTTGTCTATTTAATTAGGTACTTAAAACTCGTGAACACACATTTGCTTTCCACTAGAATCTTAAGATAATTTGATCACAAAATCGAGGATAAAGGTAGATGCAAAAATATTGTACTGTTTGGCGTGACCTCCACTCCCAACATGCCAAAATAACGAGGTTACATAGACCAAACGGTCCAATGCTTCAGTAGGGCACTTTTTTTTCTCGATTTTATGATCAAACTATCTTAAATTAATGTAGAAAGCAAGTGAGAATTTATGAGGTTTTAGTACCTTGTAAAATTATTTAATTTTATGAGAAAACGCACTATTTCTGATGATTTTCGTAGATAAAAAAATTGCTGATGATGATACGATGAAGACATTCACGAAGTTTTTATCGGATGTTAATAAATTGATTCAAAATGAGCCCGTACCATGTAATGTAACTATAAATATAACCATTTCACAATTAATATAATCTCTGAAAATACCATAACAAAAACCTGTAAATACAACTTGATTAGGAAATGCGATTTGGGGTTTATTAAACATTATTATTTTTAAAGTTGTTGTTTGTTATATTTAGTGTTATTATTTTTATATTACTGACTTTTTAAATTTTATTATTTCAGTTAAACTCATAAAAAATCTGGTGCACGAATTACACTTTCACTCACAGCACTACTTTGTACAGGATTTTTTCTCTGGATATATTGGACTATTATAAAGCTTTTGAAATGCATTTTCAACGGAGCTAAACTTTAAACGTTACAGCTAGTATGTAACAACTCATTAAAGCCATTAAGATAACACAATACCAATTTATTATATTGATGGTAGGCAATAAAAACTTTTTTCTAACTTAAACTTTTTACTAAAAACTTGTTTTGTATAGGACTTGGTCCCAGTCTCTGAGCTACATTTCTCTAAAGACATTTTTTTCTGATAATAGAGAGATTTAAAAATTTACAGTTCCTTATTTCTAAAAAAAAAAAAGTTTCAAATTATTTGACAATGGTTTATTATTTCCAAACATCTAAAGTTACATTACTTTCCTAGTGACAAAGAAAAAGAAATAAAATGTGATGCCAATTATTGTACTAAACTTTTTTTATTTAATCGACAAGAAGACTTCATTGAAATCGATACATTCGTTTAGGTGCTACAGTCTATAGCAACGCTCGTTTTTCGGTCGTAATCTTGAAAGGAAAAGGCGATGAAGGAGTATCATCCTCGGGTGACCTCTAAGTTTATAACTATTCTTTTGGAGTTTTGGAGAAAATGCGCGTCACAAAATCATTTTTTGTGACTTGGTTATTTGGACTCAGAGTACCCTAAAACGTGTATTTCCGTTGAAAACTCAGTTTCGAAAATTTTCACGATCGCAATACTTACCCTTACTATATATATTACACACACACACATATATATATATATATATATATATATATATATATATATATATATATATATATATATACGTAAGTTAAAGTAAAAAAAAAATATAACAGAATTAATATATTAAATAGAAACTTTTAATTGTTTTATCTCAAGGTACTGACAATCAGATCAAAACACTTTGACAAACCGTTATTATTTACACTAAAATTAAACACAGAGGTCAAGTATGGATTGGCAAGCTAATCTTTTTTCTATATGTATTGTTTCATGCTTTGTTATTTATTTATTTATTGTTACATTCCGCATCTACCCGATCGGGTCATTAGCGGCTTTAGATGTAATCAAATTAGGAGTACAAATTTAATGTCTTTTATAAATTCAAACACTTTTTACACACGAGTTAAAATTGTTTCTTCTTTCATGTTCTTTCTGAAAGAGGTCGTCCACGCTTTGGTATCTTTTTTTGATTTCTTGCAATTTATTCCTAGATTGGTTCCACTTGAATTGCCATTTTTCATTTAGGATTTTTTTGCAATCCAATCTCCAGTCAGCAGTGGTCGTTAAATTGATCATTGTGGTTCCATTAGTTTTTCTTCTTGCCAGGTTCGCAGATCTGTCTGCAGCTTCGTTCCCAGATATGCCACAATGTGAGGGTGCCCATGCGAGGACGATGTCTTTGTCCGACGACTCCTTCATTTCCCAGAGGCAGTTTTTAATTTTCCTGGAAATGGCATTGTCGGCTTTCCCTTCGGCAATGGCCATTAATGAGCTTAAAGAGTCTGTAACTATAAGGCCATTTTTTATGTTTTTTCCTGTTAGTAATAACAAAGCCTGATATATGGCGAATAGTTCGCCTGTGAAGACGCTGTTTATTTGGGGCAAATTGAATTTGAGGCACTGGTCTTTCAGTATTACTGCACATCCTACGTCACTATCTGTTTTTGACGCATCTGTATAAAGGGTTGTGTGTCCGAGGTATTTGTGTTTCATTTCTGTAAAAAGGTGTTTTTTGACGAATTGGTCGTCGTCAGTTTTTATTTTCTTAGCTAGAGACGTATCTGTTTTTATGAAAGAATTATTCCATTGGTAGAATAAAGCGTCGTCTATTGTCATTATATTGTCCAGTCTGAAGTCTAATTGTAAAAGTAGTTTGTGGGTTCTCTCCGTAATGCCAGTTGAGTAGTTCACTTGGTTGGTGTTGATGCTGGTAAACAAACTATGGTTAGGGTGGTTCGGTTTAGAAATTATAGATGAGGCGTAAACTAGAGTAAGATAGTCTCTTCTTAAAGCTAAGCTCGGTTCTCCACTTTCGACGTATAGGCTTTCAACGGGAGAGGATCTAAACGCCCCGGTGCATAATCTTATTGCAGTGTTGTGGACGGTGTCGAGTATTTTGAGTGCTCTCTCAGAGGCTGAATTATATACAATACTTCCATAGTCTATTTTACTTCTTATTAAAGTTCGATACAGGATAAATAGTGTCTTTCTGTCGGCTCCCCAGTTCATTCCAGAAACAGCTCTGAGTATATTTATTAGTTTTAAGCAATCTGTTTTCAAATTACGTAAATGCACTGTCCATCTCAGCTGTCTATCTAACCACATCCCAAGAAAACGTACACTTTCTACGAATGGTAAAATTTCTCCTTTCAGTGATAGTGATGGATTATCAGAACAGTATCTTTTCTGGCATAAATGGACACACTTGGTTTTGGTCGTTGAAAAATTGAAACCTGTGGTTTTAGTCCATTGCTCTATTGATTTTAAGATGTTTTTTATTTTCCATTCTATGAATTTTATATATTTGCTTCTGATGATTATTGTGAAGTCATCTGCAAACAACGTACAAATTGCTGGTTTGTGGACATTCTTTACAATATCGTTTATTGCTATTGTAAAAACAGTTGCACTTGAAACTGATCCTTGGGGTACGTACCCCATTTTCTTGGATGAAGGTGG